CTTCATATTCGTTTAATTTTTTTATTTTAATATATATATATATATATATTATTTTTTCATTAGTTATGTATGTAAAGTGTAAAATTGTACCTAAGTTGAGTTAAGTGAGTTGTGAGAATATTTGACTAGAGGTTTAGTTGATCTTGAGAGGAGGTGATATATAAAGTTTATTCTAAAAATTAAGTCTTATAAACTCAATTTCTCAAAGATCTTAAAGAGAGAGAGTAAAGTGAGAAGTTTTGTAGTTCTCATACTTCTTCTCTTCTTTCTATATTTCCTAGAGGCGAGAAAGGTTCTTATTGATCCTCGGGGTGGTGATCCAAAGCTATTGGATATGAGGATTCAATATGGGTGCGGAATTTCTCAAATTTCTTCTCTTCCTCTTCCTCGTTTCTTCATCTTGGTGGCTAGGATTTGAGGTAAAGAAGGTTATGATGAATGGTTGATTGATTGGTTGTGTTTTATGTGAATAAGATTCTCAATTGTTGCATGAATTGGATGATTTTTGGATTTTGAAGGTTGTGGTTGGTAGGGTTTTGGTGAAGGCTAGGGAAAAAATGCCTAGTTGATGATTTTGATATCCTTTGGAGTTGCATGTGTTGTTCCTTGGTGAATTTGAATCATGTGATGTTAATATCCCTGTTTTGTGGCAATGTATGTGTTGGATTTTCTTGATTTTCAGGTGCTTGGAGTGATTTTCCTTATTCACATTTGTAGATTTCTAGTGTCATGATGGGTGCGCCTTGGAGGCACTGGGCATAGTTCCAACCATGGATCTTTGTCACATTCATGTCGGATGCAAGATTAGTGGCAGGCATTAGGTGTGAGAAAAGAGACTTGTTTTGGGTTGAGATGACGTCAGGCATGATTTGAATGGTGTTGGACATGAGAACATAGGAAAGTCTTTGACTTTGTGACGTTATGTCCCAGTTGGGTGGTGCCAAACATGATAAAGGTAGAGCCTCCTTGTCTAGATGACGTCGGGCGACATCATATGATATCATGTGTGAGTCAGGTAGAGACTCTCTACTTGATATACAGTTAGGCATGAATTTTGCCACGTCAAACGTGAGGTCCTAGGGGGTCTGCACCCTAGTCACACCAAGTGCAATTTGGATGACATTGGGCATGAACAAGGCAAAGAGCTCCTTGCCTTGATGGTGTTGAGGGCGAGATATGTTGTGAGACATAGGATACCTGGATGATATGTTGATGTTTTGGTGTATTTGTATGATAAACATTAGTATATTATTTTATTCTATTGCATGTAATATGGTATATGAGGATCATAGTTCTATGTGTATTGATTTGGCATGATATATATATATATATATATATATATATATATACTTTATACATTGATCTAGGAATATATATATATATATATAAATGATTGTATGATGTGTGATTTTGTAAAGCATTGGTATGCCGTGTATCGATGATGTTGTTGTTGATCTCTATATGCATCGACTGGATGTGATGTATATAACTGATGTATATTAAGGGGTAAATGCTAAAAATGCAATATGACATTAAGCCATGAGTAGCTAACTTAGGACTTGTTGAGAATTTTTTTTTTTTGAAATCTAAAGATCCCATATAAGGAATCTCGGAGTAGTGTTCAGGTAAACCACTGTTGGAAAACCCTCCACGAGTAGGTATGTCTCTTGGACTGATTTTGAAGTGTGTTGAATCTCCTTTATGTCTTTAGTTAGTGGTTAAGTAAGGTAGGAGATCGAGGGTTATAACCATTAACCAAATACTTGAAAATGTTGCATGGTTCCTTGAGGATAATTAGTGGGTGAATTTCATATGTGACTTGGTAATGCATATTAAAGTTGTGGTAAACCTATACCTAACTATACTAGCTCTAATTGTGAAACTAGATTTTCCTAGTGTAAGTAACAAAATTCAAGAAATTAGATGAGGGATTGTTATCCCATTTTGTTATGATGGAGTTAGCGCTTCAGGTGTGAAAATGATTGGAATGGTTCGATAAGGCAAAGTCACTTATACTACTCATATTGTTAGGAGATCTCCATAAATAAACACGTGACATGACACAATTAAAATATAATTGATTGTCGGTGTAAAAAAACTTTACACTGACAGTGCATAGGTGATTAACTCATATTTTAATGAGAGAGTTAGTGAAATATAAGTAACTAGCGTGAGAGGTTAAAAGGAAATGTACCGAGACAGTTTACAAAATTAGTTGAGGAATAAAAATGTCTAAATAAATAATAAATGAGAGCATATTTTTAATGAATTGTTATATATTCTTATATTATTAATAATATTTTTAAATCTAAATTAGTTAAGAAAATTAGTTCAGGATGTAATGATTCAACTATAATTGAATTCTACGTGAACAAATCTAAAAATTTTAAAAATTAAATTAATAAAAAATTTATATAAATTTTTAAAAATTATTTATCAATGAGCTTACATTGAGTCTTGAAATTTTAAACATTATATAACAATAAAACGATTTCATTAATATTATCAGTGTAAATTTAAATAATTATTATATCCGAATATTTTGAGTCAGTTTGTTTAAAATTAAGTAACATATAGAAATTATTTTTAAAATTATAAAATTAGGAACTGTATTTCCCCTAAAAAGCTTAAATAAATTCTCTCAAAAGTGGAGTAAAAAAAATTTGTTTTACTAAAGAAAACATTTAATAAAAAAAAATAAACAATCAGACCTTTATAATACAACTTTATACACATGATAGAAATTCAAAACAACTAAATTGAAACACGTTACACAATTTAATCCGTATCCTCAATGATTTTTAAATACAAGTATGAATATTATATATATTTTTATATTCTGTTGGCATTAATAACGGTAAAATGAGTATTATAATATTTGATAGACCAGAGACAACATTTTAAATTATAAGGCATTCATAGCGTTGAAAACGTTTCTTCTAAATATTCATTTTAAACTTTTCTAAAATTCTTAATTAAGCAAAATGAGTCTCAAATGCTACAATAAAAAGGGAATTAACACAATTCAATCAACAAAACCTATACTATATTTCAATCATAGAACATAAAAATCTATTAAATTTATCCCAAATTATTCTTAATCACAATATAATAAAAACACTAAATCTCCTCCTAAACCTTACAATTAAACATATTTCGTGGCACTTCTCAATTTTCTTCTTCTTTTTTTAAAGACAATGACTATCAAATGAAGCTTTCTATAACTACCAAAAAAAAATGAAGCTTTCTATCTCCTTGGACCAAAGAAAACATGTTCTCGTTAATTATAGAAATAATAATACTGATATAAGTATGACACTTACATGAATATAAATAATATTTTAAATTAAAGACGTAGTTCAAAATTGGTTGGATAATGTTTGTGAATTGTTATAATTTTTTAATATCGAGTTTAATATATACTGATGAAGAATAATATATTAATTAATATATGAAACCACGTTAAAAAATAATTATTTTCAAAATAAAAGTACCTCTGCAAATGTACCTGAAGATTCGAGCAAAGCTAAATTTTCTTTTAGATATTATATTCGTGATCCCTTTTCGAGGCATTATTTAAATTATGTAAAGGAAAAGTCCTTTTATTACTCCGTGCAACTACCCATAAATTTATTGATATTTTGTTGAAGTTGATTGAGTATTTTACACACTGGTCATTATCTATTATATTATGGGTCCTTGTTTCAATTAATTCGCAGCCACCCAACCACTTCCTTCGTCTTGCTTTCATACTCTCCAATCGATCAATTTATTTATTTTTTTATAAGAAAAATGATAGTAATAAAATTTAATTTTAAAATTTTATGTATAGATCACTCTAATCTTTATCATTAAGTTCATCCTAATACTTCATTCCATCAAAATTTACTTGCAGCAAATTCAGTTTTTACTGGCGGTCTTCATCGTCAGCCCCCAATCGACAATAAATTACGTACTGTTTGTTAATCGTCTCCATCATCACTAAATACTACTATATTGGTATTAGCTAGAGAGAATAGAGATGTTCATAAAATGATTTTATCTAGATAATAACAAACAAGTAAATAATGTCATTATAATGGTAGAGGTCGATAGTTCTAGAAAAAAAAACTTATTCTTAGTATCATGATAAATTATGTTTTAATTTCTACTAGAAATTTATTTATTAATGTTTATCTTTATATAAGTGCCAATTAAAATAGCATGCTATAAATTATTTTAAATTTGACTACATATTTATGAGATTATTATCGTGAAATATATTTTAGATCAATTAATCTATAAAATAGATAAGTAGTAAAATAATATATAATGTTACTAGCTACTTAATATCAAATTTATCAAAATTGTATAATAAATAATATATTATCGTGAGTAATTTAATTCTTTACTACATACAATTAGTAATAGGTCCATTAAATTTATTTACATTCAATTAACTATTATTAGAAAGTTAAAGTTTTGATGGATAGCCAATGTTTGTTCTAAGTATCTTAAACAGGTCCACTAAAATTATGAAACTAATAGTTAGTTATCAAAATTGTATAATCAATAACATTATTAATAATTAGTTACCGAAATTGAATCATAAATAACATTAATATTAATGTGAACAATGTGATTCTTTATTAAATAAAGTTAGGTACATTAAATTTAATTATGTCCTATCGATGACTGTTGAAAAGTTAAAAATTTGACCAATAACTAATGTTTGTTTAAGTCTTGTTGATTTTCACTTTTTATCAGAAGATTTTGTTCTTCAATTATATTATATTTTTCTTTCATGGATGTATTAATTGGTTAAATGATGAAATGAAGAAAAATTGTATAAAAAAGAAAAGTTAAGTTAAGATCTTTATTATGTTGGTTGTAATCTTTTACAGTGAAAAATAATAATAATCAAAAGTTAGTAAGCAAAAGAGTAGTCCAAAAGTATCGAACCATATAATAATAAAGCATGTGTGGTACGTGCTAAAATTAAGATAAAATTTCAGGCGTTAAGAATATTATTGACGAAGTAGCGGTTACTCTTCTTCTATAAAGGATAATTAAACGAGACAACTTCTCTCAGACACGCCGAGGAATCCCGCTGTCGTTGAGGGTACGGCATCCATGTCATTTCATTCAGTTTTGAAGAATATATTCGATAGAATATATTGCTGGTTTTTCTTTTCATTCGGGAACATCGATCCTAAGCTTTCTTATAAATTTGCAGCAAAATGACAACAACGGAAGAATCGTGGACAAGTTGGTTGTGTGATTGGGTAAAACACAACACACACCCTATGTGTTTTCAACTTTCCACTTTCAACTACGCTAGCTTTTGTTTGCAATGGTTTTGTAAATTGTAAATATAGAGAATTCTTGTTATATGTTTTCTCTTTCTCAGGAACCAGAGCACTACAACAACTTCGTGAATCACACCGACACAAACGAGGTTGATGCAAATTTCCCACAAGAGGAGAACTTGCAACACTCCAGCACCATGAGCAATTCCTCTCAAGATGATAAAAATAAAATCTTTGGAGAGAGTCCAGCAAACACACTCAAAACTGGCACTTCAAACTCTGCTAACACCGAGTATCTCTCACAAAAGAACGATTCTTCTCTCTCCTACATTCTTTCCTTTGACAATGTTGTGAATCCAGCACCAGTACTGAACATTGACTCCACTACCATGAAGCCAAAAGATGGCAAGGTTGCGAGAAATCAAAATAAGGAACCAAAAAACAACAACTCCGTCTCTTTGTCCAGATCTCCTCTCCATGCCAGAGATCATATAATTGCTGAGAGAAAGAGGAGAGAAAAGATTAGCCAGCAGTTCATAGCTCTTTCAGCCCTTATTCCAGGCCTCAAAAAGGTTTACTTTCTTTTCTATTTTTACAATCATTGTTAAAAACACATAAATAACATGTGTTGGAGATCTAGCATCTTCATAATCTTAAAGGTGATTTTGTTTTTGACATGATGGCCGGTGCTAATTAGTTAAGGGGTACGTGCAGATGGACAAGGCCTCGGTGCTAGGGGACGCTATAAAGCACGTGAAAGAGCTGCAAGAGCAAGTGAAGCTATTGGAAGAGCAGAACAAAAGGAAGAGGGTAGAGTCCATGGTATATGTTGAGAAATCTAAGTTATCTTGGGATGAAGATGTCTCAGACACCTCATCAAATTCTGGTGACGGAAACTCCTATGGCCCCTCAAAAACAAATGCATCATCACTTCCGGAAGTTGAGGCAAGGGTGTCAGAGAAGCACGTGCTGATCCGAATCCACTGTGACAAACAAAGGGGACTCTTCATGAACATACTCAAAGAGGTTGAGAATCTTCACCTATCAGTCATGAATAGCAGTATCTTGCTTTTCGGGACCTCCAAATTGGACATAACCATCGTAGCAGAGGTACCTTGTTACATTGCTGTCATTAATCACTATACTTGGTGCTGTTATCCGGAACTTAGTTTTATTTATTTTACCACCCCTACACAGAATAACATATAGAAATAGTGTGCAAGGGGATTTTCCATTTTGATTTGTTGCATTGCACGTTGGGTCTGATTTGTTCTGCTGCAAATGCAGATGGAGCAAGAGTTTGGGCTGAGCGTGAAGGAGTTGGCTAGAAACCTTCGAGTGGGATTGATGCAATTTATGTAGCTTACAGGTGTATGGTGTTATTTTAGTCCTCACTTTAATGCATTAAATTATGCTGTCACTTAATGCTCATCTTCTCAGCAGTAAGCCACGTGGAAAAAAATGAGTGGTGTGAAAATAAATTGTTTCGAGATGCATTATAGGGTTGTTGAGGTAATCAGCACGAATTAAAAGAGGTGAGGTACATTGGAAACTGAGATTTGACTCATCTTGAAAACCATTTATTTTAAGATCATTAAAAATTACTGAGCAGAATATTGTTCCAACGAAGGGTAGGTAGTAGGCAGTACGTACTGGAATTAATACTACTTTATCTTAATTATAAATAACGTAAAATAATAATCAAAAAAATAATTAAGTTAATTATTTTAAAATAATTTAAATATAAATATAAATATTATTTTTAATATACAATTATTTTAAGTGATTTTTATATTTAATATTAATTATAAATAAATGTATTATAAAAAAAACTAACAATAAATTAAGAGTATGAAAAAAAAAATGTTAAATAATTTAAAAAAATTAATGATTAATGTTTATAATTAAGAAAAAATTAATTTATTATTTATAATTAAAATAAGAAATAGTATTTTTCTTTGTTTAAAATTTAAGTTTATATAATAACATGTTTAATATTTAATAAAATTATTTATTACACATATTATTTAGAAGAACTACCTAGTACCTAATACCTATACATATAATAATACACGTAAGTTTTATCATTTTATAACAAGTGGTAACGTAGTTGTTAATTTTTAATTATTTATATATGATATATATATATATATATATATATATATATATGATAAAGAAATATTTTTATTTTAATAAACAATCTACTGTGTTTGTGAACATATGTTAAAAACATTGTTAAATTATTTAAATTGTTAAAATAACAATAGATTTTAATATTAAATAATTCACTTAATCCTGGTTGATGTAACTTATGGATATCTCTCAAGTTTTCGGTGCCTGATTTGCTAACTGCATATATTTCGGCAGGGATGAACAAAATTCAACTCTTACATGGATTCTGTCTAGTTCCTTTTAAAATTTAGATGAATTTGGATCGTAAAATTAGCTTTAATATAATTTTTAAGGTCAGTTCGAATTATGCTTTGGATCATCCTAACGTGTTTTTCATATATTTTTTTTTTATATTATCGAGTCAGGTTTGAATTTAAATAAATAATTAGATTAATATTTAGAGTGAAAAAAATAAACCTATCTCAACTTGTCCCTTACTCACCCTAATATTTGAGTTTTGTTGAGCCTTTCTGGAAGAGGAATTTTCTTTCCCTTATTCTAGACTTTCTTTTTTTTAAGATCATTACTATTTATTCTTGACAATGTTTACTCGTAACAACATCTTAATTTTGACAATGAATTGAGTGGTTTATTTTTGGTAGATGAAATTGTACGCCATCCCAAATTAAAATGACCTTAAAGATAAATTTTATTTATACAAAAGATTATACTCTTAAAACTTCTTTCATTTTTACAAATAAGAGAGAATTAGAAAGAAAAGAGAGATATACGATGTTATAAAAGATAGAAATAAAAATGTATAAATTATATTGTATTATAATATTTATTTTTTAGAGAGAGATTGCAAGATAATCATAGCCACTTTCAACTCTTATTCATCTTTAATCAAAATAGGCAAGTCACCGGTTAAGAATTAAAAATAAATAAAATATTATTAAATTACTCATTATAATTTATAATGTATCTTATCGTAAATCTTAATTATTATTTCATAATTAAGAACTTAATATCCTTAATTTATGGTTTAATTTGTATCTTCTGGGCCACTGCGGTGAAGTTCAACGAGCCCAACGCTAGTATAGAACCATGTCCAGCCTACATAGTCCAACAGGCCCAAAGAACTCATCTAATCATAGATTTTAAAATTTTAATGCTCCAACAAAAAAAAATGATAAAAAAAACCGTTGTCTTTCGAAAACAATTACAATGGCTTTTATTTGAGAACTGGGAACATTTCCAATAATGGACTGATCGAACCCTACAAAACTTTGGCAAAGAGACGGTATGCACACGTACTGATGCAAAATTTACAAATTAAGAACACACAAACAAAAACAGCACAAAGCCTGCAGACTAATGAGACTATCACACGATTTACAACCCCAAGTTCATACATACTAATCCCAAAAAATTAGCAGAGATGTTTTATTTGTTACCCTTGATTCAAGAAGCGTAAAAGATGTGCATTTCAGATTTAGAATATGTTGGATGAACTCCTATAAAAGTAATATGAGAAAAAATTATAATTTTTTTTATATTAATTTATGCAAAGTTAAAAATATAATCAGAAAAATTAATGTAAAAGAATTTCTATAAATTAACCTATCTATAAGTTAATTTTAACTTATTAAAAATTAATTTAATTTAATTTTTCTTATTTTTCCCCTTAAAAATGCATTCGGATAATATCCAAAAATAAATAAATAAATTCATAATGTATCATTAAAAATATAAAATCAAGGCTAGACAACCGCAGCTCAAGCAATAAAGTAAATAAAAGCTTTATCACCTTTAAGGCCTTTAAGGAGGGTAAACTTTTACCATATATATAATGCACAAGAAATAATTTAACAAATAATAATATAACTTATATGTACATAAATAATGAAATTAGTCTTACATTTAGATATTTTTTTAACTCGTGTTTAGTTTCTATTGTGTTTGAATTTTTTTTTTATTTAGTGACAATTATAATATTGCAAATAAGATTAATTCTTATTCTAATAAGTTGAGGATTTTATCATTGTAAAAAAAATTCCTACAAAAATAGTGGTGATAGTAGAAATAGTAATAATAGTAATTAAAGTTATGATAACAATAGTAATAACACTAATAACAATAACAACTCTATTTGAATTAATAATGATATTATAATGATGACAATAATTATATGTTTTGCATAGGATGTAAAGTTATACGGATTAGCTGAAGATAATTTTATAGAGTAAATTTACAATGTAAACAAGACAAGTAATTAAGAATTGAATATATACTAGACTAGTAGTGCATTCTAACAATAAATGTTAGTTACACTAACTCTAGCACTCTCTTTTAATATATATTTCACTATTAATTAATTAAAAATTAAAAATTTTAATAAATTTTATTATTACATCAGAAAATAGACTCATTAAATACAATACAAAACTCACAAGATTTATAATTTTTAATAAATTTTAACTAACACTAAATATATCGTTAATGAATGAGTATTCCCCCCGGTTGTTTTTTTTCCTTTTCTAGTTTTCCATATTTAAATATGAAATCTTTAGGCAGATATTTGTTCACGTCTCATCAAATAACTATTAATTTCACATGATCTGGGAGGATTCTGGAACACCACATATTTATTAATTGTTAAAATCTAGTCCCAGTTGCGTTCGTGTGGGTGCATTCCTTCTTTCTTCAGATATTCCTTATAATTGAAACAAGATCTGGTTATTGATTTGCAGTTAAGTACAGACAAGAGTCTTAATGTGATGTTTTGATTGCACGATGTTTGAAACTCTCATTTGTTTACCAAACAGAAAAAAGGATACAAATGGACTAAAGATAAAGATTCCCTTTAGATGCGAGAGAGAAGTTTCCACACATATGCTTAATTAGAACTATAATTCAATCTAATGTTGCCAGTCTGTGAAACAATTGGATTTTAAGCAATTAATTGATTTATATAAAAAGTGTTTATGTAATCTTGTATAGATTTGGATTGTAAAATGAAGTAAAAATATAAATCTTTTTTTAGTTATTGTACCCACGCCTAAAGTTAATAATAGTAAATTCTAAAGTTAATAAAAGTATATTGTTTCGATTGGATTTATGTATGTAGACTATGGTGTCTCGGTTGCCTATCAATTTATACAAAAAAATCAATGGTTTTGAATTGAATTATAAATATTTATCGTAAATAGGATAAAATATAATCATGTTGAGATTTTTGAAAATTAATTTTAAGGAATCTAGAATTTTAATACACTTAATTTATATTTTTTAAAATATATATGTTTTAGATGTGGATATCGTCTAATGGATGTCTCTCATACCATAACACTTATAAATTTAAGACTTTTTCTTTTATAGAAAAAATTTAGATGAATAAATCTCATGACTCACCAGATTACAAAAGCTTTGAAATTAAAAGAGGACTTATTTATGTATCATCTACTAACAACTTTATATTGGTAACAAAAATTAAACTCACATCTCAACAAGAGTACTCTTTACCAACCACACTAATATCCGTTGGTTATAAATTTAAAGTTATGCTAACAAGTGTTTCGACTCTCGATAATATTAGTTTAATATTTGAATTTTTTTTTATTAAAATCAAGATAAAATTGTATTGATAACGCTAAATATTATTTTTTAAAAATATTTTTTATATCTTATAATTTTAGTTATTTTTTTTTTCCGATCTAGACAAACTTGTCTTCGTCTAGAGTATCAGTCTGTGCTACTCTTGGTCTTGATGTACGATTGACGTATGCCTCGTCTGATCTGTGCTTTAGAGCAATTGCATTTGACACAACTTTGTCTGGATATTTTATGATCATCTGTTGCATATTCGTGTTTCAACTACTCATCTCTTGAGGCTCAATTTCCTATATCACTTGCTTTATCTGTCTCAGCTTGTCTGGTTCGTGTCTTGCCTTGATAATTCCTTATAGGCTTCGTCTGATACTTCAGTGCCTCATTCTGGTGGTAATCCTTTTCCATCCGTGAGAAGACTTTGTTTTTATGCTTGACTAGCCATCATTTGATTCTTTCATCTAGTTTGTACAATCTTCATGGATTGTTGCATTTAATGCCTTTGATTTTGCAATAAATGTTTGCTTGCTGAATCTGCGCTTCACGAGATCTTTTGTACTGTATGTTTGCTTTTCTGACTGGCATTAAGATATCTCTGTACTTTCCTAATACTGTTACTACAGAGGTGTTATCCTTAGCTGACTGGTAGGTGTACTTGCTCTGACACATGTAACTCTGATTTGTGGATAAGCGCTTCTTTTATTTTGATGATTTCATGTGTTCTTCTGAGAGTGTGGGTGCTAGGTAGTTTGTCTCGTTGTGTCTTTAGATGCAGTCCGGGCTTCTTGGTTTTCGTCTGTTTATTTTGAATCTCTGTCTGGTCAGCTATGCACAC